CCTTGAAGCAAAGCACAATCTATGTTTCCAACAGATTGGGAATGAGATGAAAGCTGATTATGAAGAGCACGACGCTATTCTGATCGCTCGTTGCATGATGCAGATCAAGGCCAAGTTTGATACTGACAAAGGTCTGAACTTCATTCAACAGTATTACATCCACCAAGGACTTAAGAAGTTTGGTAACAATGGAAAGGATGCTGTGGATAAGGAATTGAGACAAATGCTCCTGAGAGATTGTTTTACTCCCGAATTTGTTAAAGACATGACCGCGTCTGAGCGAAAGAAGGCCCAATCAGCGATGATGTTACTCGCCGAGAAGCAATAAGAAAAGACTATTAGAGGTCGCCTAGTATTCCGAGGCAATGGAACTCGTGAATGGTTATCGCAAGAGGACACTGCAAGTCCAACTGCTTTGCAGGAAGCAATCACCACTACTTGTGTTATTGATGCACACAAAGGTAGAGATATAATGACACTGGACGTACCTAACGCTTTCATTCAAACTTATATGCCTGAAGCTAAGGAAGGAGAAGATCGTGTCTACATGAAAATCACTGGCATGATGGTCCAGATATTGATTGACATGGCCCCAGAGTATCGCGAATACGTTGTACTAGAGAACGGAAAGCGAGTAATCTATGTGCGGGTACTGCGTGCTATATATGGGATATTGCAATCAAGCCTCCTATTCTATAATCAGTTTCGAAGTGATTTGGAGGCAAAGGGATTTGTTTTCAATCCGTATGACCCGTGTGTTGATAACAAAGTTGTTAATGAAAAACAGCAAACTATCAGATTTCATGTTGACAATCTTCTGTCAAGTCACATGGATCCAAAAGTGAATGATGAATTTGCTGAGTGGTTGAACATGAGATATGGTTCGATCCAGCCATGTAAAATCGTCATAGGAAAGATACACAGATATCTTGGAATGACTTTGGATTTCTCGGTGAAAGGAGCACTCAAAATCCGCATGGACGACTATGTCAAGAAGATGTTGGAAGATTTTCCTATCAAGTTCAACAAGGATTCAAAGCAGGAAACACCAGCTGGTAACGATTTACTGGAAGCTGGGAAAGGAAAGTTACTCAATGCTGAGTACCGTCAAATCTTTCATACTACTGTTGCAAGGGGACTTTATGTCTCTAAGAGAGCTCGTTTCTTCAACGATTACTATTCTTGCCTCGAGAGTTTGAGAACCTACAGAGTCTGATTGGAAGAAGTGTGTTATTTGTTTTGTACATCGTTGTATCACCTGACACTTTCCGCAGAATCACTACGAGTCATGAAATGGATGATCAACGCATCATTTGCGGTGCATCCAGATTTCAAGAGCCATACTGGCGGCACTCTGTCCTTTGGAGGAGGTGCAGCTCAAGTGATGTCAAAGAAGCAAAAGCTAAACAGCAGAAGCAGTACAGAAGCAGAACTGATTGCTGTTGACGTTGTTGTCACGATGATACTATGGACAAAGTTGTTCATGAAGTGGCAAGGGTATCCGATCGACAAAAATATCTTGTATCAGGATAATAAAAGCGCGATTCTACTGGAAGAGAATGGTCGCAAGAGCACGGGCAAAAGAAGCCGAGCTATCAATATTCGTTATTTCTTTATCACAGATCAAGTTGAGAAAGGAAATGTTAAGATCAAATACTGTCCAACTGACGATATGATTGCGGATTTCATGACTAAGCCATTACAAGGTGAGAAGTTTTGCAAGTTCAGGGATCTGATTCTTGGTCCACAGGACTAGGTCAGACAACTAGGTATCTGTTCAAAATGAAAATACAAAACAAAAATGAACAGTGAATGAGAGCATGTCCCATTGCTGCCAATGGTGATTGTCACAATGGCAGGAGTGTGTTTGGATATGACAAAATATGAGTTTTTACGTTCCAAAAAGAAACTATTCAAGTACAAAGTTTTCGACACGTACGATCGGACTTTGATCGTGATGTCAGGATTTGACGCAAGTATGCCGGACGCAAGTCTGTCGGACAATCTACATCCACACAAAAAGGGAATGACCCTATACAAGTGTGGATATCAATGTTGTGTACGATGCAGTAGGGAATAATACAAGATGTCCCAAAGTACTGCATTCAACACAGAATTGTCGTAGAGATCGAATCAAGTTCTGTAAACAAGGGATTTTCCAAAGGAAAATTGTTGAACTTACTTTTGTGATTGAATCATCAATTCAAGCCAAATATTAATCAAATAGGAACAATTTCACTCAAAGTATACCTAGA